TATATATTAAAATTATATAAATTATAATATAATTATCAATGTAATTATTCCTAACTATATTAATAAAATTCACGAGTGGATTTTATTACATGTTTTTTCCAAGTTAACCTGCATTCTAAGCATTTATGAAAATACCATGCATAGGGGTGTATTATTTCAAATAATTCTGGAATGCTTGCACGTGGCACACGATTTACGACGGAACAAGCAGTCAAATCTTCATGTTTTAAAGAGTCTCCAAATGAGCTCAGGTAGAGCGCGGTCATTTGGGCCGTATTCTTGCTAAAATTCATCGACCTTCTCTGTCGACGACAGCTGAAAATATTGCGTGTCTTGATAGCTTATAGAATAATAGAGAGCGAGCCAATTGAGATAACAAGTTTTGTAGTCGATTTTTGATCAGAACAGAATTGCTACGTTCACTGCTGTTGTAGATGAGAATAAAAAGTCTATTTAAATTCATTGCATTTCTCATCCGTCCACTTCGTAGAATACCTGAACTTGAAATGGAGCCGTAGAATTACAGCGTGTTTTGATTTGTGATCAGCAGCACAAGAGTATAATCAGCATTAGCAAAAAACATATCAAACTCGGTAAAAACAGCGAAAAAAACATATCAAACTCGGTAAAAAACCTTCACAAAAATCGAGGAAAGCAATAAATCTGCTCAGAAGTCGCCCGACTTGGCTCAAATATATTCCGCGCTTCTCAGGCGGGAAATCAATTTCTAGTCCGAACTAATTTGTGAGTTTATATAGTGTCCTGAGAGTATAACAAGGGATGGCCGAAGCTGAGTCTACCTAGCTTGCGAGCTGCTCAGAGGCTACGTTTCAAGACCGGCCGAAGCAGACATAGAGAAGCTGATTTACGTGCTTGCTGAGTCGGAAGCGACACCTATTGTACATTCAGACACGCATCCAAATTTATGTACGGAAACAGCAATAAAAAAACAAACGAATTTAATGCAGTATATTAGCATAGCCGCGTTCGAGCATCGGGAGCAACGAGCACAACATAGCTCGCGTTCGAGCATCAGCAGCAACGAGCACAACATAGCTCGTGTTCGAGCATTAGCAGCAACGAGCACAGCATAGCTCGCGTTTGAGCATCAGCAGCAACGAGCACAGCATAGCTCGCGTTTGAGCATCAGCAGCAACGAGCACAGCAACAGCATAGCTCGCGTTTGAGCATCAGGAGCAACGAGCACAGCATAGCCGCGTTTGAGCATCAGCAGCAACGAGCACAGCATAGCTCGCGTTCGAGCATCAGGAGCAACGAGCACAACATAGCTCGCGTTTGAGCATCAGCAGCAACCAACAAACGAGCGGAGGTAACCTGACCAGCGGCGCGGCTGGGCGTTGCGTGTCTCCCGGGCATTCGCCAGCCTTTCCAAGGCTTCGATTCTGGCCGATGTGCAAGGGCTATGCAATTCATGGCACCAGTTCATTCGGCGATGATTATTGGTACAATAGCTGCAGGTCTCTAGGGTCAATGGTCCACACTCACGACACGATATTCTACAACCGCCGCACAAATCGTATCCGGGACCTTTTTTTTCCCGGTTTTATATCTTGATTGCACGGATTACTGCTGAACACTACAAACCATACTCCATTCACTCAGTTTTCAAATTCTTTGTGAATGCAATTTTGATATAATATAAGAATCCATGTATTATGAATTGATTATAAAATGAAGTTTATGTTAATTTTTAAGTTTTATATCAATTCTCAAATTATATATACTTTACTTTTTATGAGTAAAAATTTAAGAAATGTTGACAATTATCATACATATTGTGTTTAGATTAAGGACGTTTTGTTATGACAACTTTTGTTTTATTTCTCCTCTGAATTTATCAAAGCATCTTTCTAATTTTAGGCAAAAGTTTATTTGACTGATTTGTGCAGATTTTCAAATCAAACTTTTGTTGCGCAATAATTACGTAAGATGTTGATTGTACGGATATTATGAGTAAATTTGCAATACTTTCGTTCACAGAGTTCTGGAGGCCGAGCCATTTTCAATGAAAAATTCAATAATGCATGTAAGATTAAAAATTTTCTTCCTATAATTTATTCGGTATAGATTGAAAACCAATTGCCTGAATGGAGATAAAGTTTTTCTCATTGGAAAGTAATTTGAATCGAAATAATAGTAATAGTAAATAATAGTAATAGTAAATTATTAATATTTTATTAGGGGTTAAGTGTTTCAACATGAACCTACAAGTTCAGCATGAACCAAAACGGCAGCCTACAAGTGACCAATACGAGAGCCTACCACCGACCAATACGGCAGCCTACAAGTGACCAATACGTCAGCCTACAAGGGACCAATACGGGAGCCTACCAGTGACCAATACGGCAGCCTACAAGTGACCAATACGGCAGCTTACAAGTGACCAGTACGTCAGCCTACAAGGGACCAATACGGGAGCCTACCAGTGACCAATACGGCAGCCTACAAGTGACCAATACGGCAGCTTACAAGTGACCAATACGGTAGTTCATATACTCATTATCAGCATGCACTGCACGGCTTTCATGCAGTATTATTCTCTCGCAAAAATAGAGAAATTTAGGAATCCAACATATTTCACATTTCATTTAATCGTTCATGTTTTCTTGACTTAGTTTTGGAAACAAATTTAGGAATTCAACAGATTTTCTTGACTTAGTTTTGGAGTTTCTAATTCATTGCATAAAACACAAGCATATTCAACGTAGTTGTTTTTAGCATTAGGCTTCCAACTTTAAATGGATTTAAAATAACACATGCGAAAAAAGGCATTCATCTTTACCCAGTCAGAAACCTGACTCGAGCCTCCAGGCCTTCGTCTTTTTTTTTTCTATGGAAGTCAAGAGCTGCTCGAAAAAGTATCGCAAAATAAAGAGTTTGGCCATATTGTGCGCTGGATCGCTTCATGAATCGCGGACACACATTGCAGCATTTCTGCAGACGCATTTGCAATTCAGTTCATCTGACCTGAGCAGATTGCCTGTCGTCATCCTGGCCGATCCTGCGACTGTTCTGAATAATTTCCCCTCCGACTGCGTTGTTGACATCCAGCAGCGCAGTTTACTCGGGGATGTTTCTGATGGATGTGGATGATTTTATCGAAGGTCGGATATGATGGAGCTACGACGCCGCGGCGATTTTAATTTAAAATCTTGGACTCGGCTTCCGATGATAGCACAAACGTTGCGATAATCGAAAATTTTGAGCCAAAGAGATTTCTGGCAAAGAGATCATTTTCTGGCATAAAGGTTATTAGAAGCAAATTGTGGAACGTCGGGTGTTATCTGATTTTTAAGCAAAACTTGCAGACATTCGGTGAGAAAGAAGAAATATTTCCACCACGTGAGCTTTAAAGGGCGCAAAAACAATCGCAGGAGACAGAAACATGTCGCGTTGTGGAGACGCCTCATCTCGACACGCAGAGGCCGTAGAGCAAAAACACCAGAAGCGACAGAACAAATGTCACCTTTAACCACAAGTTGCTGATAATTTCAGTTCAGAAACAAAAACCTGTTCGTAGGGCTTAAATTAATGGTTAGTTTGATATTGGAGCTTAAAGGTATCGTGTTAACCTGACAATTTTTTCAGTAACTGAAATTCAATGAAATATTAAACGAATACTCGTGTTTGGAATCAATTTTTAAAATTTTAATACCGGGAACGGTAGATGCAGATTTGCGAGGAAATCTTTTTTTGTGAGTTTATTATTAATTATATAGATTTTTATGACTTGGTACTTTTAGGCCGATTTTTTTTGAGGACCAAAGATTAATTTGTATATTAAAATTTTCTTGATATTCTACTGAAATAAGCTTATCGTATTTTGAATATAAAGCTTAAACTTTAACAATTAATGATTTCTATCAGTTAGTTGCCCGAAATTATTCAGTTTCATAGGTATTTCAAACTATATCTCAAACTTTGATATCTTAAACTTCGCTAACTATACAATGAGAAAAACACGACACGCATTCGCTTCACATTCTCTTTGCAATCTCGATGAAAGAAGATAGCATTCAAGGCCAGAATAATTTGGCTAATTCCATGGTTTGGAAGCGCGAGCAAAAAAGTCAATTTAGAAACTGGAATTTGCTCAAGAAAATCTTTCACTGAATTTAACAAATTTTTCCATGAAAGCTCATTCTTAGATGGATTGATGAACTAGACATTTATATACTAAAGTAGACGTCAATAATTTGACGTCCAATTTCAATTTTTTTCAAAGAAACCAATCGCAATGGTTGTATCAGGAGACTTTTTCCGTGTCAAAAATGTTCACTTTTATTTGTAATCGCAAAATTTGACTAACAAAACCTTTCTTCATCTATCGTTGAATTTTAGCATGGAAAATTTACAAAGGAAAATTATATAGCATTTACAGGTTCAGAAGTTGGACAGCATGTTCAGAACTTTTAATTATGCAAAGTCGAGGTATATTCTCCAATGTGCGAGCCGAACAAACACTGGGGTAAGGTTCATTGAAAACACATTTAGGAGATACAACGAATAATAATTGTTGGGACCTCGACTGCTCTCGTATGATTGTGATTCTGATTATAAAAAGCGAATTACAGCGTTAACCATCTAGTTGAATGCAATGAAAACATCGTGTAACTATAATATTCACTCTGCTGAACGATATTTCCAGACATTGCGAAGTGTCTGAGCTGAGTGATACCAGACACGATTGAGTGTCAATGCTTAGTGCTTACACACTCTTAAAGGTGGCTGGTCGGGACCTAACAGTTGCTTTAACTTACTGGTCGCCGTACCCTGTAGGATCCAAAGATTATCAACCAGAGATAATTTGCAAATGAGGCAGCACAATATTATCAATATTTTTGTTCAAATAAGAAAAAGTAAACTTATGCTTTAGTGCATAAGTTTGTTCAAGTAAACATGCACTAATGCTCATTGAATTCTCTAACAGACATTACTACAAGTAATCAACAGGAAATTATAAATCGAGACCAACTTACCTGCCAGCAGCGTCTGCAGGAAGATGAGCGGAACGACAAGGCCTTTTGGTTTCATCTTTGGTGCGTGCAGGCGAAGTCTCGAGAGACCAGGCCGCTTAACTGATGTTATCATTCCTTTAATTGAGACTAAAAGACTTTTTAATTTATGACGAGAAATAACTTCCACAGAAAATAATTTAAGTGAAGTCTCTCAGAAGAGAAGTGCCGTCGCTCCACTTGAAGATCAAAAGAAGACTCTGTCTGCCGTTGAAATTTGCGCAGGAGATGAAAGTGACGATTTGATGTTTAATTTATGTCGTATTGCTATTTACACTGAAATATTCTTCACCAGCATGTAATATTGACTTTTCTTAATATTTGGAATTAGTTCAAATTAGATCCATGGAGAGTATGTTTCTTAACCAGTTGTTTGAGTTAAGAAATATTGGTCCGTCATATTTTGGAACAAAATAGCTTCTATTAAATTCAATTATTTTTCAGTAAAATTTTTTCACATAAGATTGCCTACCACTCCCTTGAACTGCAGAAACTGAGAAACAGAATTAATTAATTAGTTTAATCATCTTTCATATATTATTATATCCTCGAACCGAATATCATTTTCTTTAAATTTTGCACTGCTCTTTACTTATATTACTCTTGCTTCTTGCACTTATTTTTTACCAGGTAATAAATGACTAGGATTTACGTCGTTGGAGGCGACGTGTACCGGCTGAGGCTTCGTTAGAGCGCGCGACTCTCCAGACACGTTTGGTCAGACCGACGCTGACTCAGCGTTCCTCCACGCCACAGCATCGAAAAATACCTTGAGAAATTACAGGGCTGGTAAAACGCTTGCCCATTCAACGCTCAAAAGTTATCCAATAAGGACAAAAGAAGTCGAATTGAACGAAGGAATTTTTTTTTCTTGAAATTACTGGGAAGACTGCAGTTTAAGCAAAATATATATATTCAAGGAAATGCTGTCAAACAGTAACGCAACCATGGCATTAATTCGATATGCATGACACAACGTGACCAAATGTATAACTGATCGTTCATTTATATGCTAAAATATTTTAAAAGATTCAAACAATTTCCAAATTAATCGCGACACCTATAATTGTGACTTGTTTCCTTTGGATCAAACGAAAGTGCAACGGAAAGTACGACCCCATGCATATTTCGATACATACAGGGTGACACAAAAAAAACAGAGCTCATAAAAAGTTGAATAATTTCCACAATACTCAAGTAATCCTGTTATTTGTTTCAGATTCATTAAGAAGACGGATTGATCTAAGAGTCTACCACGTGTGAGCTTCGAGATGCCTTGGACTACAGAGCAAAAGACATTTGCAGTTGAGACATATTTTCGGCTAAAGTCTTTCCGGGAAACGCACAAGTCTGCCTGCAGCGCCGGGGCGCGCATCTGGAACATATCTTTGAGCGGCTGTAGAACAAAGAGTTTTTGTGGTATAGAATTGAGATTTTGCAGATGTTGGCTACATAGATTGTACATAATTCCATAGAATTTTTGTTTCAAACTGAATAAAATTTCAGGAGTTATAAGACTTTTAGTGAGCTCTGTTTTTTTTGTGTCACCCTGTATAAAGCGTTTCTTTTGTTAGAAACACCTTTTTGATGTCTCTATTATATAAAACTTTTCATTTATTAGAAAACTCATTAGACATCATAGATTTCCGTAGCACTTAATAACTTATTTGATTTACTGCACTAGCGCACAGAGGTGAATATTTTAATAGCACCTCTAGTGTCATTATAAGCGATTACCACGGGTGCTACATCACAGCGTTAGCTCCATACAAGCTTACCGTGCCAGTTACTTTGACACGTAAGTGAGAAAAGTCACGCATAGGTATTGGGTAAGCTGCTTAGTCCCTAATATAGCATCGTTAATGCTTCTTTAAAAATACGGTAATAGATTTTTCTTTCAAACGATTGAAAATAGAAGAAAGAACGGTTAGATTTCGGGACTTTTGTATGGAGAAAGTTAGTACATGAACAACAATGGCCGAATGAAATTTTATAACCTACTTTTAAGATATTGATTACGGCTTCAACAAAGTTTAATTTAAATATTACAAAATGATAAATCAATTCCATAAATAAATGAATAACAGATGAGGAGAACATTGAATTCCTTCTATTTATATGTTAGGATTACTTGTCAACACATAAATTGATTGCCAACAAACGTAGGTAGATCGCAATCAATCTTTAATTCGAAAATTAAGAAAAAACTTTCCACAATGATTTTATTTCATTTTCATTGGATTAGCGTGTAGCAAATTAAAAGAGAAGAAATTTGCATCTGCGTTCAATGACGCGCGTGAAAAATTACGAATGAATATGTCAGCATAAGCATTAGTTAGCGAGATGTGGTCAGGCTTGTTGGGGCCATACTTTCAAAACTCGCTAAGTGAACGTAAGTACTTACGCTCTATTTTCTTGTCCATGATTGGTGGATTTTGCTTGAAAGGCCGTCAACGATTGGCTGATGAACTTACGATCTCTTAAATTTTTTTGAAAGTAGTTATCACGAATATGTGGCACGCAACATCACGTGTGCGTGGCAGTCATGTTAGTCAATATTGATTCAAATAATTAAGCGAGTTTAGTGCATGTCAAATTCAAGTGATTAATGTTGAGCTTAATTGCAAATGGTCAACGCATAATAACTGTTTCTATCGAGTGTATTAATTAATCTAAGCAAAAGATTTGGAGCTAAAATCTCAAAACAATTTGTAATTGACATTTAATTCAATTTTACTTCAATTCATAATTCACCTCCTTCTCATATAATTATTGTTAGGTTATTCGTTTTAATGATAATTAGGAATAATCTAAATAAGTATAGTAATTTAAAAATATTATAAATAATAAAGCCCATGCATCAAGGAGTTTTCTAATGCTAATTTAACGAAGGGCTGATGCAAAGATGTCATGCAAAGGTGAAATATTAAAAATATTGAAATTCAAAACCATTTCCAATATTCAAGCCCTTATAATAAAGTGTAGGGATCTTTTTAACCTATAACTTTCAAGACTAGTAATAACGTCGTTTAATTCTTGTAATTAAACCGTGACAAGCATAAATGTTGCAACAGACAGATAAATCGCGTGTTCAGGTACAAATAACAATAGTGCTGGTGAATAATATAATTTTCCTCCTCAGCTTGCGCTGAATACAGAAAATGTTCAAGCAATGCTGCATAACTGATGATTCGTATTGACCAGCAGTTTTCCTCCTCAGCTTGCACTGAATACAGAAAATGTTCAAGCAATGCTGCATAACTGATGATTCGTATTGACCAGCAGTTTTCCTCCTCAGCTTGCGCTGAATTCAGAAAATGTTCAAGCAATGCAGCATAGCAGATGATTCGTATTGACCAGCAGGAATCTTACCGAAATAAAGCACTGCATGAGGTTGCTAGGCTAATGCCAGCTCTGCGGCATTGTTAAAAGACGGACGGCAACATAGAATAAAGCGGAGCGTCTGGGCTCATTCGGCGAACAAATTAAGGCTTCTGATGCGTCCATTATGCTATTGGTTTTATTTGTAAGTATACCAAATAAAAAATGTAATTATTTGGTTTGGAAGGTGAATAAGTCTGGATGTAAATGTCCAATGAATAAATGTTAGAGTTGAAGTGAGTTTCTTTAGAAGTGCAAGGGACGCTGCATATCTTAGAAGACCAGTGAGTGAACGGTATGTCACAAGTTAGATTATTAAACTTATCTTCAGACTCACATTAACTAATGAAAGCTATTTTTCAACTTGCGAGAAATCCAGGCAATTCAGTGTAAATGTTGACATTCAGAGAGACAAGAATGAAGAAATATTTTCATGCTGGGACGCGCTAATTTTGCCTTCTCTCTGACCTTTCAAGAAGACCACATCTCTAACATTACTGATTCTCAATTAACAAGAGAACTGCAAAAACTGCTCTGATGAGGCAAGAATAATATGCTAGTTACCTGCAATATATAAATTTTTCGAAGAACATGTGCTCCAATAGGGTGTCACTAAAAGCTCTTCTAGATTACCCTAGGAGAACGAAATAAGTTTTTTTTTGTCCGATTTACGATTAGATAAGCAGATGAGAGAAATGTAATGATGCAATGATTTAGGTGAAGAAGTAACTGCTTAGTCTAGTCTCCATTTTCTCTTATATTTACTAAGGGGGCTGCTGCAAGCCTCAGATACTCTACAAAGACTAAATCTATTTTTTTACCACCATATGACATTTTATCATATAATGACGACCGCAAATATTTAATTTCAATTTACTATATTTATTTACTCAATTTGAAGTAGAGTACATATTGCATGTGAATACCAATCGATTCAATATCATAATTAAAATATTATAAATTTATAAATTTTCCATAAAAATTTTTATTATAATAAAAAATAACTCAGTACTCACTGCAGTGAGTGACAGAGAGCGCATTTTCTCGTCGACGAAAACGCGAAGTCACGGACGGACAGACGGACGGACGGACATGGCGAGCACAATAGCGCATTTTATCCATAAATGAGGAAATGCGCTAAAAATTATAATTGCTAACATCATTACAGGATCGTCACCTGTGACATCATTCCACGGCCTTCATGAATACGAGAGAATGGCCTGGGGCTGCATGGCGGCTAAAGGTTATTGGACGAGGAAGGCCCCGCAAAATGCCCTCGAGCTGTTTTCTTGTCGATGCAATCTCTTCGCTCTCAGAAAATAATTAAGTGACTTCGCGAGGCAAAAAAATAGAAGACGTAACACAAAGAGCACTTCACACAGCAAGAGAAACGTAAGATATTATTGTGCTGCCCTACAGCTAGAATAAAAATTCATTTTGAGTGAACGTTAGCTGAGGAAATAAATTTAGCGGAATATTTATACAAATTTTCAGTCTTACTATGCACTATTTCTAAATATTGTATCTCAAAAATGGTAATTAAAAACACTTAATTAATCTATTAACCAAGCAGCTAAACTACTCTCTATTAATCTTTATAATCACAACAACGTGTAGGCATGCAAGTACAATTTCGTGGAACTGAACGCCATGTTTAAATAATTACCAATTCTTTCGATTAATAGATCGCTAATGCTTTCCAAGGTAATTAAGAATAGACTGTGAACAGATTAATTTATCAAACTTATCATTGGTATCTTGGCCTCCAGCTATCCAGCTATATGAGTGCTAAATTTTTCAGTAACTTGGCAGTTATTAATGTTGGTTGATGTTGCATTATAGGTTCAAATTGTCTGGAACTGTTCTGTTGGAAAACTGACAGCGAGATTTCATTTGCACGCAGCGATCTTAAATTTATGTAATTTTTCTTATTTTGATAGAAGACCAAACTGATTTAGTATCTATTGCATAATTTTATCTCAAAATATTCCATGAATCAACGTGATTCATGGTTGTCAAGACTAAATTAAGACTAGATAAAGGACATCATAGAATGCTCAAAATTGTGAGCGAGGATGACGATGAAAATAGTTTATTAAAAATAATATTACATAA